AAAAAAACGGGACTTATTTGCCCTAAAAGCCACTCTCACTCCTTCAACGGAGAGCGTAGAGATTCATTTTGAAGTGAGCATACTTTTTGAAGCAATCAAATGGTCAACTAAAGGCAAGAAGCAAAAAGAGCGACACTTTGTTCAAAACGAACCATGCTAACTGTCGCCATATCGAACGTCCGTTCAGGACTTTGCAGTTAAGTAAGCGCATAGGCTTAAACTGTACTTTTCGCCCAAACTTTGTTAAATGTAGTCATGCGAGTCCATTTTTAACTCTTTTTACTGCGTGCTATGGAAATGCAATCCCTCAGGTGGTCCAACTGCTCTTCTCCTTTGCAAACCCAACCATACAATAAGGGAAAAGTGAAGTGGCAATGGCGCTGGGGTGGCCAAAACCAAATGGATACAAAAATGCTTTAAAACGAAGTAGACAACTAATCTTTCTTTTTGTATTTCGTGATTGCCTATTGTTCACAGTCCTGAGTGAAGAGTCCGTACTCTGTGCCTTGCACAGTACCAGTCTTAACAAAACTTCATCCGAAGGAACGAGTCGGTCGTCGTCCCCAAGCCTAATCAGGAGCTTGATTGAATGAGCAGTTAAAAAAGTATGCAATTCCTACAAATGACTAATTTTTATCCAGTCGAACGGTTTTCTTGCGTGATACCGCGGGTCAGAATCTCACATCTCCATTAAAGTGGGTCTTTGGCCCTGCCTTGAGCCCGGCATGATAGTTGAGGTGTAACAGTTTGAAGCAGCTAACGTCAACTCAATTTTCATCCCAATTTGGTACCCTTTTAGCACACCTTCTTTGCTCATGTCGACTTTCCCTTTCCGGAGGAATTTTCAATCAAACTCTCGCCATACTTACATTGCCCAAATTAAAGTTGGACTGCTAATTATGCACTGGCAGAAATTGCGTGGACATTGCAGACATTGACAGATGATTCGACGGTGTTGGTAGCGAAAGCACACGTTGCGCATCCGACTCTTCCATGACCGTAGCTATGATGCCTGCAACAGTCCTTTCATTACACTTACAATTTCTTATAAATTGAGTTACTGAAATCGCATCGGTTCATCCAAGGCTTCAATAACAGTGACACTTTTAAGGTTTCTTTTTTAAGTAGGTCCCCTTCCCATCCATTCCTAATGACAACAAGCAAGCAAGTGAAAGAAACACATCACTTTGAAAACATACATTAACACTTGTGATTTTCTGGGAAAAGAAGGGATTTTTGATGTTGGAACCTTTTCTTGGAGAGGGGGTTGGCGTTTGACTGCACTAGAGCCGACAATATTTACAGGAGTCTAAAACTTTGTGCCTTCTTCCACTTCAGCCTGCGTGCCTATTGAGCCCAAGTACCCTCATTGGAAGGACCCCAGCTGCCTCACCGCCATCGTGTTTGCCAGTCTTGGTGGTCTCCTTACTATCCTCATCCTCGTCGTCTTCATTGTATATCGCAACACCGCGGTAGTGAAGGCATCCACACGGGAATTAATGTGGCTCATCCTCGTTGCTATGCTATTTGCTCATGCATTTACTGTCCTCGTCTTGTTTCGCCCCTCCACCGTCACCTGCGCCCTCCAACGCACCCTACCTGGTCTCGCGTTCACTGCCATCTACGCAGCTCTGGTGACCAAGACCAACCGAATTGCACGCATTATGGAGGGCTCAAGGCGGATCCTGGTGAAGAAACAACGCTTCCTCTCCACTCCAGCTCAGTTATTTATCACTGGATGTAAGTCGGTGTTTCGCTTGCTGTCATTATTGAAGGTCTAATTACAGGTGGCGAGAGTTGAGATTAGGGAAGCACGAAAGGGTCAGAAGGTTTGAAGTATTAAAGAGGGCTGTAATCAAAGTTATTTAAATTCGGCCGACATAAAGGTCTGTTTAGCACTAGAGGGAGGGAATTAAGACCCAGTCTTCTGTGGTTTTAAAATTATTTACTTTGACATCAAATTGCTCTGCGCAGACACAGGTTTAGGTTGTCCAAAAGTGATGAGCTTCTAAGAGCCAGGACCGCTCTGTTAATAAGTGAACCACTCCTTTGAGGAACTTTCATCCAGAAATTTGGACATTTCAAGTGAGGTGGTTTGTCATTTCCATGGCAAGCGTTAGAGAAAAAAGGGCCAGGGAGGCCTCTGATATTGCAAGTGGTTTGGGCAAAACCTCTTACGCCTTCC